ATTTGAAATTTGGTTCAGTACACGTCTTTACGAACAAGGTTGGTACACCAGTCTGTAATTCCCCCATTGTTTGCGTCGGGCCGTTAAAGATGGCCTCGGAGGCGGTACTTCGTAGCCGTGAAAGGCCGTCCACATTAAGAGTACGACGACAATTTGACCTCTAGTTGTCTGTAGCTGCCGCGGACGTATACTAATATATTTGTCTGGTTGCAGGCAATTTTTGTAATATTGTGTTACTCTCTGAAGACGTCATTCCTCCCGCAAAAGTGGCTGCTGTCACAAGAATGAAAATACATGACTCCCTTTAAAAATGAAAATGTGGCATGACAAGTTGTGGAAGGTTGACGAAGGGGAGAAATTAATTTGTTGGCGCCACAGACTTTCTGAGAGCGATTCTAAACTTCTATCAGGCGCAGAACACTGTGCATTTATGATGTGGAAGATAAAAAACCACGCCGACGCAAGGTGTGGTCGTTACTTGGCGAGGTCTCAAGCGGTTCGTTCGCGAGGCTCGGTGGATAAATCCTCCGGTCTAGGCCAACAAATCAAGTGAATTCTCCAGGATCCTACACAGTTTGGACTGGGTTTACTTGGCGTGGTACACGTTTTGCAGAGCTAAGTTGGCCTGATATGTTCCGTCCACACTATGGCGGCATCTCCGTTTACGAATCTTTACTGTAGAGTTTGTGTGAACACAAACCGAACCTTCTGAAAAATGAAACAATGTAACAAACTGTGGTCTGGTGCGCACCAGAAAGCGGACTATTAGGTGTTAAGATGCTTCATGCAAAAGAAAACTCACTCACTATAGGATACTGAACAACCTTACTTTTTCAAATGTTTCAGTAAGTAACAGCTGTGCATAGTTCTGCGGTGGCTGCCTGATAATATAGGCAGAATACCCTCGTCTCATTTATATTTAAATGCATTGCCGTACATTCAGCTGTGATTTTTATAAGGTGATTCTTTCAACAGCACATTTATAAAATTAAATCTGATGAAAGCTTTGTAAATTAAGTGAGTAAGGCTCACTTTATGATATAAATCACACACGCTATGACGAGTCCACGGGAGAAAAAAAAGATTTTAATTCAATTCAAGGTTAAGATACCTTTACACGAGTGCAGTCTGGAGCTCTTTCACTCTCATCATTCTTTGACTGTATTTCAATTACTCTAGTAAATCTATTTTTTTGCTTGGATTAGCTTTCTACATCAGGCAGCAGCTCATCACGCATCCGTTATTATTATAACTCTTTGAAATGTGAGATATGAACCTGTGTGTGTGTGTGTGTGTGTGTGTGTGTGTGTGTGTGTGTGTGTGTGTGTGTGTGTGTGTGTGTGTGTGTGTGTGTGTGTGTGAGTGAGTGAATGTAACTGAGAGAGTTTGTGAAAGAAATAGCCTGGTATATGTGTGTGTGCCTCTGTATGTGTGTATGTGGGTGCGCCTGATGGATTTTCAATTTAATTTCCTATGTACACGCTCCGTCCACCAGGGCAGTTGATGAGATTGAGCCGTTACTGCTGGTTCTGAAATTGGGCCGGTCCTGCTGGACTCACAGCTCCATTTAAATGCATTAAAGCAGAGAGAAAGTGGCTCGTACATCAAGGGTTTTGACATGTGGGAGTGTGACAGCCCCCAGCCCCGTGGACGATTGGCGCTTGACATGCCTGGGTCTCGGAAACATCCATTAACATGCGCTACATACATGAGCTAACTGATGACTAGGTCAAGCCTTAGATTAACGGTCTAAAAATGGACCATCACTGCGAATAACGGCTGGTTTGATCGTTAGCGAGCAACTGTTATTTCCGTCGAGTATTTGACTGAAACTGTTTGACAGGTGACTATCGATCTCTATCGCTTGACACGTGTCTAAGGCCTAGAATTAGCTATTAATATATACTGTCACGGGTGCTGTCAAAAAAGAGGCTTTAATTTGATGTGGGTAGAGATGACAAGTAGTTGAGCCGACGGGTTGATGTGGCCTGGTGTTAACGGTTAACAGACGTCCACTACACCTGTAGCTGCATATGAGCAATGAATATAGAATGTGGAAGATGTTTGTTCAGCAGAAGGGAGGAGACGCAATCAATTGATGCCAACTGGCTGTGAAATTGAGTAAGAATGTTTCTGCAGAGAATATTTCGCTTGAATTTAGAATGCTTCTTTCGAATGCAAAGGCATACCTTTCCAATATTATTCAATTTTATATGTGACCTTTTTCTAAAAAAGAAAATTGGAAATTAACACAAAATTTACAAATGGTTTCTGTGTGTTTAGAAAACACTTTTCCCTTTTGTTTATGCTTAGTATACAAGATTTGTCAGCCTTCATAATCCAACTCTAAAATATATTAATTCAAATTGAAAGGAGCATGTACTGTAAACTTGATTTAGTTATAAAGCAAATGCTTGACTCACTTGAGACGACAGTTCAAGTACATATATGTATTTATGTACTTAAGCAGGTACATTTTTTATGTATGTGAACTGTAAAAAGATTTTTAGAGGAAGAAAAGATGACAAGGTGTCTCAGTGAATGTGAGATTTCATGACAACTGTCTTACAAGGGAGCATATTGGAGAAAAAATAGCATACCAAGAGTTTAAGTGAGAGTTGAGCGGATAAAAGCTACACGTGGGAAAATTATGAAAAAACGTTAGAGAATATATTTTAAAAAATGCATTGAGAAACCATAGGTTCCACTCCGTTCAAGTATATCTTATTGAAGGTAATACAATGTACCTATTTAAAAATGTAAATATGCTGTGGTAATATGAACAGTGTTTTGGTCATGCCAATAAAGCCATTTGAATGGAATTTAATTTGGGCGTAAGACAGAGGGACATACAAATACAATTGAAGCTGACATTTAGGCTGATACAGTTAAAGTTGTACGAGAAGAAAAAAGGTTACTGTCTCGCAGAATAGTTTTTTCTGACCCATTTTGACCAACTTTTGCTTGATACAGGAAGTTAAGGATTTTGGGGGATTTTTTGAATGGCTTGTTATGCTTGACCAGTGACCACACACATGAATGTTTGTCATTGTGTAGCCTGGATCCCTCGAGGCAGAATCTAAGGCCCAATCCCAAACCACTCCCTCGACCCTACCCCTCCGTGACGGAGTGAACTCCGTCTGTAGCCACAATCGCAGCTCAACGAGGCTCCCTCCTGTCAGATGGAGGGAGTAAATACAGCAGCAAGCTTTGGGACGGACTCCCCACTCTCCGGCAGAAACAGGAAATGCCGTAACTGTATGTAACAACGGTTTCAAATCAGCATCTCTTAGATAAAACATTAACATTAATAGCTAAAATAAAACTCCAAACATCTTTCATTGTGTTACTTTTTTGTAAAGCTCTTTTAGTTTTAAACCTGATGTTTATAAGCTTCTTAGTTTTTGCAACAGCCTGTAAATATACACAACTTTATAATAAAATGTACACATTTACCTTTTTCTAGACTAAACACAGGTATGATCCTAAGTTAAAACATGAGGTTATCATAAGGTTGTTAACATCGCAGTTTATAAGTGGATGTTTGCTGGAACTACTTGAACTACTGTTAACACAGCGTTGAGACCGGTCAGGTAGAGACCGGTCTCAAGTCAGCACCGCTGCAGACTCGCTGTTTGAGGGCTTGATAGCCCACTCCCCCTCCACACCGCTCCACACTCGTTGCTTTGGAACAGCCCTCAATATGGCGGACCCTCCGCGTGAACGCGCAAATGGAGGGGTAGGGTGTAGGGGTAGGGTGTAGGGGGCGGTTTGGGAATGGGCCTTTCTTAGAGATCGTCAAGGAATGTTTATATGCGTCGCCTTTGAGTTGAAGGGTGTATTGTTGAAAACCTAGTTGTTTTTAAAAAGTAAAGCTGGATTCATGCTGCAGCTATGGTGACAATATTTTTCTTTATCTGTTTCCTTTCTGTTTATGCAGAAAACATTCAGAACAAGTTGACTGTGCAATGTGGAAATCCACAAACAAAGGAACCAAACGCTAGAGGATACTAAATGGATCTATGGGATGAATTCCTGCCATATCAAAACAGCCAATAACACATGTTTACACTCTTTGTTATTTCAAATCCTTTGGCATTCGACTCGATATGTAAAGAAAGCCCTCAGTGAAGGTAGATCCGACATTGGAGCTATTCTTTATATACAATTAAGCTTTTTTTTCCTTTCCAACTTGTCTCATGTGCTGTCTCTTTTACAATGCAGCCTATTCCAGCACATTTAAAGCATATGGCCATAAGTGTATGAGAGTTTCTTTGTTTGCCACCCTTCATAGCTTTGGTCAGATAAACCCCCTCGCTTTTGAAACACAGGGCCATCTGTAGCCAGCACGGTTAGAGAATTGTAGTAATTTACCTTTTGAATGCAAGCTTTCATCACTGCTGCCATTTTATTTTCTATTAAGTGCATTGCTCAATCAACACTCTACCTCCTGCACACAATGGAAAGAACACATTGTTGATAAGCTAAACAGACATTGTTCCATACAGTATCTACAATAAGGTGTTTTTAAAGCAAGGATAGATGCTATCCAATCGGAAACTGTTGGAACCTGTAAATGTTACTAGCTTACTGTAGTCGCTGTAAATATGCTGTATGATGTCCTTTTAGTTTTTCTGTTATGTTTATATGTATTCATGTGGAACCTACTTGCAGCAGGTCACCCTTGAAAAAGAGATCAATGATCTCAATGGGATTCACCTGCATAAATAAAGGTTTGAAATTAAATGAAATCAAGGTTATAATGGAATATATATATTTTCTTATATTGTTGACAGATTTAGTATGTTTGTGGTTTTCTTGCATCCATATCTGTCCTAGAACCATTTGCTATCGCACAAGTCAGGAGACAAAACATATCAACAGTTCTCTATTGTTACAGTGATGATTACAGAGGCAAGCTTTGGCTAAAAGGTCTGGAGGTATAAAAAGAAAGGCCGCTGTCTTCTCACAAAAAACATTCAAATCTGGGCAAGGTGTCTGTAAGAGCGAGTGGCAGCGACCTGTAAGGGCAGCCATACATGAACAGAGCAGGCAAATATTGAACCATTACGCAGTTGTTTAATGTCCTTCCTACTCAAGCTCTCTGTTTGTCTCTCTGCCCATTCCACCAGATGGTGTTTCAACCACCTTATGGTAGAGGTTTTTGTGTGTGTGTGTGTGTGTGTGTGTGTGTGTGTGTGTGTGTGTGTGTGTGTGTGTGTGTGTGTGTGTGTGTGTGTGTGTGTGTGTGTGTGTGTGTGTGAGAGAGAGAGACAGGCAGCTAGAGAGATTGAAGCCCCTCACAGTTACTAATCACTGCGTTGCCTGTGGCCTCTTTCCAGAGAATATCAAATTGTCCTCTTTATATTTCTTTCAGGGAACTTCCCAAAACCATTCATGTGACTGCACTTCCATTTACAACCAGGTCTGCCAGAACAATGGGCACTGATATCATCAACCATTATGTGATTTTTCTTTTTAACAGAACAATGCCATAGATTCGGCACTCAAAGTCATTTTAGACTATTTTCTTGTGCTGATTTAGTTTCTGTGTTGAAGGTTATAGTTTGGTTTTCTGGTGTTTTGAAACCTTTTTACTTTGCTTGTAATTCTTACCAAATATTGGAAAGATTATTTTGTAAGAATTACAAGCAAAGTTAAAACGTTGGACAGTGACTTACTTTTCCAGGGGATCCACTTGTTTTGTTGCTTTTTGTGAGGCTTTTAATGTAATGCATGACCATTTTAATCACATTAACAAGGGATCTGATAATTGCATGTAGGGTTGGTATTGGGTTGTTGTTGACCATATAGCTTTATTAAGGACTTTTCGACATGGCAACCCTACTGTATATCAATTTGAGAAAGAATCATTCTTATAGGAAGAATACTTATCATGCTATTTTTAGGCAATAGCATAGGTCTCAGATATATCAAAAATATATAAAAAACATGTATATGAAGTGTTTTTGTCAAAAAACCAAACAGATACCCCATTCCAGCCATGCCTCATATCCCTCTATTTCACTTCCTGTTCCAAAAGTGCTGATTCTGGGTATAAACAGGTCTCTCTTGAGAATGAGACCCTGTGTCTCAATGAGATGTACACCTGTATAAATAAAGGCTACAAAAATAAAAAATAATAAAGCTTTTTTTTTTTTAAACTGAAAATAAATAAAATAAGAGGGGGCGGAGCTTTTGCTGGCTCATGTGGGACCTGGCAGATACTGTCTAAAATGCTGCGGTGATGAAACGCAAGGATTGTTAGATCAAGGATTATTTCTGAAACAGTATGGAGCTCAACGGCTTTCTCTCTTGCCGGTTATACCACAAGGTGAGTTCATTTTTATTTCCTGCTTCTTCACACACATGCTCTCTCCAGTACAGGTTAGCTCTGAGTGTTAGCGATGCTAATGCAAACACCGACCATATTACGTCCAAAACAGTCAGGCATTGTCTCTGATAGCAACGTTTTAGTGGGTTTTATTTTCTGACGCTCTGTGAGTTCCCTGACACACCGGGGACACATATTTGTGTATATATATAATACATCAAAAAGTGTATTTTGTATGATAGGTCCCCTTTAAATCTAACATTTAAATGGGCCCTTCTTGTTTTTACTGATTGTAATGCATATTGGTTGTTAATAACAATCACCTGTTTTTGTCAATCCTATCCTAACCAAATGTTATCCTGCATTGACCAAAATAAGAAACATCAAAAAAATCTTTAATGTAATGACCAGGAAGAAAAAGCACAGTATAACAAACCTGTATGTCTTATTTTTTACATATTTAGGCATGGTCAGGCTGTTTGAATGTGATGGATTCAATATTAATATGATTTGTTCAGATTTCCAGCATCTCTCATGACAAGGCCAGCACAGCTCTGATAATTCTTCACATAGCTACAATATAATGTCCATAAGTAAAGCGACAAGGCCAAGCAATTGCTGATATTACTTCATTTGTTAAGTGGATTGGCTGCTTCCTTTCCAGCAAGAGGCAGGCAAGGTTAAAACATCACTTTATCACAGCATCTATAATGGGAGTATTTTGCATCTGGAGTTACAGGATCATGAAGGGTTGTTTGGTGGGGAGAGAAATGGAACAGGCAGAAATATCCATCATAGAGATGTAGCAGCCTGGTGTCAGAACATAGCTGCTACTCACTCTCCACCCTAACACGGAGAAGCACGTTTTAAGTCCCACACATGTCCGTGCACCTCTGCCATCTCTGTCTACCACTGGCTATGTGGTTGTTGCTCCGTCAGTCAGCATGAAGGGCAGACCTGAGCGTGGTGGGATCAATCATTCTCCAGGACACACTGGCAGTGTAAACCTTTGATAAAGAGTCTCGTTCACGGCGAAAACCTCCGCCAAGGACTTATTAAAGGCCTGACACTGTGTGATTAACGAGAGTGCTGGTGTCGCCAAGCTGGGCCGCTGCGGGGCTTAGAGTTAGGGGGGAAGGAGATGAAAGGGTAGCATAGCACTGAACAAGGGACAAGACAGGTGTTATTTTGCCTGGACAACACTCACACAGCCATATACTCACAACGTGTCACTTTTCAAATGAATGCATACATTAGTACAATGCCGTCCTAGAAAATGAAATTGTGAAAAAAGGCATACAAATGTAGTTGCTGCTCAATTACATTTTGAACAACATAATTTATCTCGGTCCTTCCATCATTCACAATATAGCAGACATGGGAACTTAAAGCACATTAAAAGTCACATTGATCCAATTTCAGTTGTCACTTACAGCATAATAGCATATTAACTGTTTGCTGAACTTCCACTTAAAATAAATGACTTGTAACTTTGAATTCATAATATGTTTAATTCAAGTGGAAAGTAATGTCTTACGCTGCCAACCATTTTGTTGTTCTTTGATTCAGAATTCATTATTGAAGGCAGTTCAGCCAGAGCCATCTCAGTCGGCACATTGGGGTTCGGCGGGGCAGGGGGGGTGCGCAACAACTCCCGCAAACTCCGGAGAGCATGTTGCATTCTTGAGAACTCATGCTCATCTGGCGGCACAAAGGGAAACCAGCGAGCAGAGAATCCACGCAGGATCTTACGGATGTGACCAGTCAGTGATGCACAAATGCACTGCTGTATTGCTCTGGGTGAATAATAACCATGTTGTCTGTAGCAACAGAAACTGATGACAGCCAGAAGCAATGAGAGAAACAAATTCTTGCTGCGATATAAGCAAGGCATGCTCAAGGAGGACAAAAATAGGAAAATATGCCCACCTCCCCATCATTCCTACACAAGCCCTCCTTTTCATTAGTGAAGTGCACTGCAGTGTGATATTACGTATGATTCCTCACTTTGTCCTCGATGATTGAGATATAGAAATAGCGTACAGGAATCTGAGAGACAGGATGATCGAGAGAGATGAAAGCCAAATCAAAAGATAAATGAGAAAGTTGATAGAGAGGGGGGATTAACCGAAAGAACGAGTGTCGAGGTGTGGAAGAGAAAGCCCAGAGCAAGAAGCAGATGGACAAATTGATGGTTCAGTGGTCTGCATCACTGAGTAATGTTATCTGTCAGAACAGAGGTGCTCCCCCATCATTTACACCTCTTAATATCCGCTGTATTTTTGTAGCTACTTCTAGTCAAACCTGTATTTACTTTCCAAATTAGAGTTAACGGTGCATTTTATTCAGCAATGATGCATATTTTGACCCATGGGAAGAATGTGGCCATACACATGTTTGCCAATCTTATGGAAGGGCTCCCATTCAGACCACACTTTTCATAAGCCTCTGCTTTGAAATTGAACAGCAGAAACGTAAAATGTGTGTTGTCCATTCACAAAATGTTCATCCGCCTTATCTTTGAAGCCACATTATGAACTGTGAGATGCACCATTGTACACTGACGCGTGGTTCCTTGGTACTTTCAGCTTTTCGTCCCTGTAGGCCACTCACCTTGATCTTTGTTTGTCTCCCAGTGAGAGCTTCCTTATCAGAATGCATGAAACATGACAGGACATGCATCGTTATCTGGTCCCTTCCCTGTCATGATGTCTATTTGTGTGGCTGGAACCTGCAGGGGACTATAGCTAGACTGCCTCCAAAACACACAGTGAGGCAGAATATCCAAATACCCACACTTATAAATGCACATACATGGATTCATGAACACCAACCCCATTGACACACCTGCTTACGTGTTTGTGAGCGAGGGCTCCGTCTCTTGAGATGATATATTTTTAACAAGTCCTCCCCAGCGCCTCATTGTTTCACGCCAAGCAGGAAGTGCCTGTAAGGCATGGAGGTTGCTCGCTACTACGGTGAAATGAGCTGTTCTATGAGTTATTGATGAAGCAGCCTTTGCATGAAGCTCCCATTCTGTAGATTAGAAGGCTGGGGAGGGAGCATCCTCGGCACATACAGCTATAACGGCAGCAGTATGGTGATGGTAGATGTGGTAATTGTCTGCACTAGTTTTCGGTTGTTGTTCAGTCATAGTGGTTTAGATATCCACACTCTGAATGTTATATGAGATGAACTGTGTTCCTCTGTCTATGTTTTATTTATTTAATTGTGCTTGTTATTCTTGTGCGCAGCAGTAAGTCTTTCTTTCTTCTGTTGATATGTATGTGCAAGCACCATTAACTCAGCACAAGTCTGTATTCTCCTTCTCAACGGAGTATCTCATACTACACTGGATTATGAATGAATCTCGACCCAAATGTAAAGACCCGTTATGGCTCTGTTATTCTACGAGAAATAATAACAAAAAAAGTAATGATACTCAAGAATCGCAAGTACATGTGTGACCTTGACACAAAGAAGAAGCAGTGGAGAGGTGCTGCATCTCAAAAGGCCCATTATTAATGTTGTAACGCAACTATTGTATTCATTTTCTGGTTGATCTGCTAGAGGAGGATCTTGACAGCCATAATCTACTTCCCATCTGAGCTACACAGGAATGGCATCATATTTCCTGGTGTTTTGATTTAAATTACAAAGGCATGTGACCACAGTGTTTTCTAGAGCTCATCAAAAAGCTTTTTTTTCATGATTAAATTAGCAGGTCTCTCAGACTACACAATTACACAGTAGAATGGTTTTGAATTAATAGAATAAAATAACAAGATAAGCAGAGGTCAAATAAACAGATTACTCTTTTGCAGATTGCTGAAGTTTGGGTCTTTTCATTGGCAACAAGTGCACACAAGCCTATCACAGCTACAGATGTTAACTCTTGCAACATGCTATCAGTTAACTCCAATACAATACTCAAACAGTAAAAAAGGGACTTAACAATTATTAATTGTATATATTATACCTGAAATTTGTTTCAATTAACATGGTTCAAGTCTATTTGAGACCACAGTTGAAGCAATGCAAATTCAAATGTTTGCACAGTCCAAATAAATATTGTCTCCCTAACGTCAATACATTACTAACGTTAATATGTTAATATTTTTTATTTAAACTGAAAAGATAAAATGTATACAAGTAATTTGGTCCCAAGTGATTATAGGCCCATCTTATCTTTTCTTAAAGGGGACCTATTCATACTTGCCAACCTTGAGACCTCAGAAATCGGGAGCATTTCAAAACCACCGCGAGGGGNTCTCCTGCTGATGTTCAGGTGTATATCAGTATGTAGTGTCTCTACTTTAAAGAGTCCTCTCCTGCTGATGTTCAGGTGTATATCAGTATGTAGTGTCTCTACTTTAAAGAGTCCTCTCCTGCTGATGTTCAGGTGTATATCAGTATGTAGTGTCTCTACTTTAAAGAGTCCTCTCCTGCTGATGTTCAGGTGTATATCAGTATGTAGTGTCTCTACTTTAGCTCTACTTTAAAGAGTCCTCTCCTGCTGATGTTCAGGTGTATATCAGTATGTAGTGTCTCTACTTTAAAGAGTCCTCTCCTGCTGATCTTCAGGTGTATATCAGTATGTAGTGTCTCTACTTTAAAGAGTCCTCTCCTGCTGATGTTCAGGTGTATATCAGTATGTAGTGTCTCTACTTTAAAGAGTCCTCTCCTGCTGATCTTCAGGTGTATGTAGAAAGGTCAAAGTGTCATCCCTCCACTCAGGTGGTAACACCCTAAGGTGTGTGTGATGTGTGTGTGTCTCCTCCTTTATACAGTGTCTGCTCCTCCACTTAATACAGATGAATTAGATTTGAATTATTTGTATTTTTCATATTTTATGTAACTTAAAATAAATAATAATGTGTCCTGACTTAAATATTAATAACTTTAGTTATAGCTCACTAAACAACAGAGGCTCAGCTGATGACAGGAACATATAAGAAACATCTAAATAATTAATAATAATTAGAGAATAAATAGAAATTAAATAAAAATGATGACGTTTAAAATGTTCAAATACTTTCTAAACGTTGTTTCTAAATGTGCTGCGTGAACAAAGATCATGATATTATTTTTGCGTTATTAATATTTTTATTAATTATAATCTTTTATTGTTATTATATTTATTTTACTGCATCTTAAATATGAGAGACAGGCAACACACAGAAGAGACATCGTGTGTGTGTGTGTGTGTGTGTGTGTGTGTGTGTGTGTGTGTGTGTGTGTGTGTGTGTGTGTGTGTGTGTCATACTTGCCAACCTCGGGAGCATTTCAAAACCACCGCGGGGAGGGGGTGGGGGGTGCTAGTGGATCGCCGGAGCTGTTTTAGATTAACATTAACATGCTTATTGTAGTTGTAAGGGCACTGGGGCACTGCCTGTAGCACCATCCTTTATGGAGCATAATGTGAAGGACAGGAGTGAGCAGAGGGTAGAGTTGTCAATTCTTGTTCTGTTTTCTGTGACTATCTTCCTCACCCTCTCAGACTTTCAGTTGCGCGCGCTACTAAAGAGACGCGCTACCATGGAAACCAAACAATGGTGTAGCTGTATTAAAGTCAGAGTGGAAACAGTCCTGAGTAAATCTGATTTTGTCAGAAATCGGGAGAAATGCGGGAGAAATATGACCCCGGGAGGAAACCGGGAGAGGGCAATGAAATCGGGAGTCTCCCGCGAAAATCGGGAGGGTTGGCAAGTATGGACCTATTATGCAAAATTCACTTTTGAATGTATTTTATACATAAACATCTGTCCCCTTAGGAAAAAAGATTTGCTCACTTTTTGTCCTGGTCCATTTATATAAACATGTCTGAAAATGAGCTGATCAGATTTTGGCCACTTTATGATGTCATAATGATGTTTTGGCTTGGGCAACCATTAGCCAATAACCAACCAAGGTAACACCCCCCCACCTTATCACCTGAATCTCCTCCTAGAGCAGGATTCTCAATGAGTGAAATTCACACCTCTGTATAATTATTATACCTTTATTAAAGAAAAAGACAACTGAAATAAGTATTTTTTGTTTTTTCTATCCAGTCTTTTACTCTTTTACAGTTTGATGCTGCAATAAGTGCAACAATCAGTCATCTCCCTCCTCTCTGGGACAAGGGAGAGTGTTTGTGTGTCTGGAACACTGCTTTGATTGATCTGATCAATATCTCAAGTGTTCCAAGGTTTTAACCTCGACGCCTGAAGCTCCTTAGAGGGGAGGCGACGCTTACAAGTCGTTTTTTTTAAAGTTTGACTGAGCAGCTGCTCGTTCTCGTATCTGAGCAAGCTTAGTTGAAGGATTGACAGCTGCTTTGTGGGTGTGTGTTCTCGCCGTGTTCTCCCGTGTCTGTGTGTACGAGCGATGTTGTGTGTATGTTTGGAAGGTGCCCGGCTCAATGCTCAGAAGCGGTGATCCAGGAAGGCAGAAAATGTGCAACAGCACACTGAGCTCTCAGATTCCGGGATTTTCTTCTTGCTCGTTTGTACTCTGTTCTGGAGATCCGGTTTTGCCGTTATTGAGTGCAATGTTCTGGAGGAGATTGTGCTGGAAATTCTCGAGTTCCACTGAAGAGGGTGTGCGAGCTAACTGTGCGTGTGTTTGTTTCTTTATGAAGCAGCTGGCTAGTGTCCCAGACAGAAGGGATGACAGCAAATCTATGTTGGTAGATCTTCTGCCCTCTTTCTCTGAGACCGCCTGATCGAGAGACGGAGAGACGGAGAGACTGGTCGCCCACAGGTGCGCCCGGACTGAATGGATGCCTTTTCATAACTAAGACACAAGGATTAGCTGAGAAAGCCTTTTCTCTACTGTGTGTTGTCTGAGAAATGGCTGTCCCAATAATGGACCATATATAGAGAAAAAATGGAAGAAAATAGATGATGTGGTGGCCTATTTAGGGAGAGGAGATGTTTCTTCCTCTTGTTTTCATGTATGTGTCAAAACAAATTGTTTTTCACTGTGCAAGTCAGTTGGGTCTTCTAAGTCTCTATTAAAACACGCTGTAATCAAAAAGCATACCCTGTTTCTTGTTTAATATTTTGATGTTGCCCTTTTATAATTCATATGGTTGCTTTATTACATTATTATTATAAAAGGGCGTTTGTTACTATGCTTAGAGGTGCAGTTCTAATACACTGTTCGTACTTGTACCAACACTAATTCCACTTTAATTCAGATATCAGCCACCGAACCACATTTGTATTCAACAGACAGGACTGGGGACATTGTATTAAAGGGGCCTCATTATGCTTTTTGGGGTTTCCATTTCCTGTAGTCTGTTATATAGGTTGTTGTGCATGTAAATGGTCTGCAAAGGTTAACATCCCAAAGTTTCCTACAGAGGGAGTTTGTCTCACTGCCCTGCCTGAAACACCTTGATTGGATTTCTTTGTTTACTTCTGTAACATAGTGACATCACTACGTAACAGTCACATTTCTATTGGCTATAGTTTCAACACAGAGGGTGAAAGGGGCTCAGTTAGCATGAAAATAATTAAGTGCTTTTTGAACATTAAAGCTTGTAAACTGGTCACAGAAAAGGCCCACAATGCAAAAGTGAAATCAGAAAATGAGCACATGAGGCACCTTTAACACAGTTCTTCGCCCATAACTTCGACTGCTGGAAATGTTAAGGAAAATGCACAAAACATAACGTAATGTAAAGCCTTCAGTCT